AGTTGAAATGTAGAGCTGACTATGTACATGGCATAATGTTGATGCACACGTCAGCTTCACAACCAGGAGTATACAAGCATTTTGCGAAAAGTGGTCAAGCCGGTCATTGGGGGGAGGGGTCCCGGGACAATCATATTCTGAATCTCAGATTTCGATTCACTGTGGCGGCTTATTATGATAAGTCAGTCATCGTTTACGGAATACCGGGATACTACATAAGCATTCCGTAAATGGGTACATGTATGAAAGGAAGACGAGCTTATCATGGACCGTTTCGGCCTGAAATAGCCTCGACGGACCGAGAGATACCTTACCTTACGTCTAATAACAAGTACCTACCTAACAAACGAAGACGTACGTCCGTACGGACTATGGATCCGGGCTTGTAGTTCATACTATGAAACTATCACAGGTAAGTAGGTAGTAGGTAGTAGGATCTACTAGGTAGGTACTCAGGTCGTTACTAGTAGTATCTTACGTACTTACCTAGTACCTACTACTACCGGTACCTCGAGAATTCAGATTTCTCCATACGGATCCATACATACTAGGAGTATTGACTTTATGTACGTAATGAAAATGTGGTCCTCTCATTTTGTGCAAGCTTACATTAGGTACTTATGCAGTGTAAGCGAAGACCTGGAGTGCAGCCTGTGAAGTCCAGGCTTTGAAGCCGTAAAGTCACGGTACTAGTAGTAGTATGACCTGGGAGCGAACTCCGTACGGGATCTGGATAGTAGTAGAATACTACTACTTATTTATACCAGGTACGCTACCAACTGCAATGCACATGGGAATCCCCACTACACCCACAGCTGGACCTTTTGCAACTCCTCATTTTTTGATTAGAAATCCCTGATACCTAGTAGTTACGGATCCATATGACCAGCGAGCTGAAATCCTCTAACGTGCTTTTATTACTAGGTAGGCAGGTATACCTACGCTACCTACTAATAACCTTGAAGGTACCTACATTAATGGCTGGGCAGATCCCGAGAATCTCGACTCCATTTGGACCTGTCCCTCCCCCCCCCCCCCCCAAAAAAAAACTTGCCAAGAACCAACAACTTCGTTTCCTCTTCTCTCCGCCTACCTTGTCTCCTTCAGAAATTACGTGAACAACTTCGTACCTAGTTCAGGTATTACTTTTTGGATTGCACCTGTGATCCGCGTCCCCACCCCTCTTGTGAGAGTGAGAGTCGAGTACGTGTACGACAGCGTGTGCGTGTACATACGTGTGTTGGCCATCTCTTAGGTCTCGCTCTCGCTCTCTCTGGCTCTGCGTGTGTGTCGCTCGTTCTATTTCCAGTCTCCTTTCGCTCTCACCTTAAGCTTCACGCTCGACGCTCCACCTTCTCTACGTACGTTCTCGACTATTGTCGTCGGTTTTCTAGCAACTAATACAAATAATGACTCAGAAGCATGTGTATGTCTTCCATCTTACGTTAATTATCTTCGTCGTCTTCCTTCTGTTGTTTTCTCTTTCTGTCCCGTGATCTTGATCTCAACCCGGAAATCTTCCCTTTTCTTAACAGGGCATCATGTGAGAGACTGGTTGGATCACCGTGGGTTTTGTTCTTGGCTAAATGTCGCTCGATCTGCTATCGGGTCCACGCGCCAATTATTTATCACATTATATTGAAACCTCTTGGCGCCAACCCAGCCCTCTTTTTAAGCCTCCTTGGCACAGCCGCAACTGACGTGATTCTACAGCACTTCAAGCCATTCGGAACGTTGTGTAGGTCGCCAAGCAAAATACTTCCCTTGCCTCCAACGATCCGTCAATGTCAAATCTACTCTTACCCGCTGTCAGATGCTTTGGGAAAGCTTGGCTGCAACTCATCCGTCCCTCACGGCTTGAACCTGGCCAAGATGGACCCTTAGGCTCTTGAAGGGGACTACAGGCATGAAAGTTGTTGCCAAGGCCCAGTGCTGGAAGATTGATATTCAAGGGGGATGACATCCTCGCAAAAAAAAAACCCCCCCGGAAAAAAAAGGAACATTTGTTTGAGATCATTGACAGGCTTGGCTTTTCCGTTGCATCACATCATATAATGACTGAAACTGTTTAACTTCCATCTATTAAAATGCAGCGCCGCTAACTCAACCGCAGTCTGTTGTTCAGCAATCCCACGTTGTCTCACGGTCATCGTGTGCCTAGCACCATTATCCAGAACCTCACTGCTGTTTCGGTATGTTCTGAGAGATGCTCTGCAATCTCCATTAATCCTAACTATTATTTCGATCAGGATAGGATAGCCTACTCAGAGACAATCCTTGAAAATATCACTACTCTCTCCACCAACTTTGTACCAACAACGAAAGGAACTGTCCAGGGCCTGCTATACGTACCGGTCCTCCCCCCCGACGACTCTTGCTCTGAAATTGCGGACCGGTATATCCCAGTTAATGCTACACGGCAAGACTACCTCCCACTTACGGACTACATTCTTGTCGCTCTAACACCATGGATCAACGTTGACTGTACCAAGTCCTTTATGGCGGCCGCAGCTGTAGACCATTTGCATGCTATGCTTGTGTACCGTCCAGACGACGAAGATGGTCAGCCGCCTGACGCGCAGTCAGAACTATGGGAACTGGATGATGGTGGTGACTGGAAGTCAGACAGCCATTTTCCTGTCTACGCAATTTCCAGCGTCACCGGTGCCCGTATGATGCGACAGCTAGGTTTGTACTCGGGAAACGTATCTGAGGTTCCCTTCGCCGAAGAGATCAAGGAAACGTATGCTCCAAATCCTGCAGACTACGTGCGAGTCTGGACGCAACTGTCCGTGTCGCCCGAGCCTGCAACTCTGGAGATTTGGGCCTTCGTATTGATCATCGCCGGGTTGCTTCTGAGCGTCATCGGCGGAATCTCACTACTGATGCGCTATGTTCAGAAACGCCGACGAGCTTCGCTGCGCCGTCGTGTAATGAACGGCGAAGTAAACCTGGAAGCATTGGGAATCAAACGCCTGACCGTGCCCCTGTCCCACATTCAAACGTACCCTTTGTTTACATATAATTACGACCCCGCTATTTCAGGTGCGGCTTCATTGCAACCTGTCAACCCCCCCTGCAAGATGTCCTCGGACTCCGGCTCTCCATCCTCCATGCCCAACCGGGAAAGACACGGCGACCGCCTCGATTATCAACCTACTTGTTCAATCTGTTTGGACGACTTCGAATCAAAGATCACAATTATTCGCGAGATAAATTGTGGTCATATATTCCATCCTGAATGTATCGATCAATTCCTGAGCGAGATCAGCTCCCTGTGTCCGATCTGCAAGGAGTCGATGTACCCATGGGGCCACAGTCCCAAAATTACGAATTCCATGGTCCGAAGCGAGCTTAGAACTCGAAAATTACGGTCACAGGGCGCCTTCCGGGGCAGTAGATGCCGACGGCTCTTTACTTGGCGCCGCCCTGAGGCCCAAACAATGGAATGGCAAACCCCGATATCAGCAGAGCCCCGCATCTCGATTCAGCTGCAAAAACAACGCAACGAACGGAGGCCTGGTGCGGTAGGTACCACGAGGGAACGTATGCAGGAGTTGATCACACCCATCGACGAGACGAGCAGCGACGACGAGCGCTCCCCATGTGAGCATCCCTCTGATAGCACAATAATAATACCTTAGTGCCGAGCCACCTAACGTGCCCGCAGGGAAGCGTGTTGCATTGACTCTATTCCCTGGGTTCTCCTAGTGGCGGGCACTGTTTTTCGTATGGCACTATACGGTTGGGATGATCTCAGCACTGGGAGGTATTGAGCGATTTTTTCTAGCATTGATTGGGCGTTAAACTTTCGGTACGGGGCACTGCATACAGTCTTGTGCTATCTTGATTGAGGGGAAACAGCAAGCATGGGGCGTTCCAGGGTTGTTTGCGTCCTTCGGCCTAATGACGGCTGAAAGATGGGATTTTTTTTATTTTTTTTTAAAAAAAGGTAAAGGCGTATGGCTGGATATACCCCGGATGTTCGACGCATAGGTGGCCTCTACAACTCTTCCGATTCTAATGCAATCTAGTCTTTCTTATCTTTGGGTGTCACATTGCTGTGTTATGATTAGAAAGGGGCTTTCGTCTCCTTGAGACACCGCCGACGCAGTGCCACATTGTCACCTTTCACCGATGGAGTCGATAATCCACCAACTAACTCCTTTTCGAAATATGCTCCTTAGTTCGCTGGCTGGGTCTTTACGGTATATGCTATAACTTCAATGTACGTACATAGTTAATTATATCATTAATGTTTACGGGATGTCGATATGCAAAACCTTGGCTCTATGGAATGACGACCATGTGAAGAAAGTAGTCGACCTGACCAGTTACCGAGTTACAGGCCTACAACAAATGTGAGTCGAGTCAATCCAGCTAAGAAAAAGACATGCCCATGGCCCAATGGGCAGGCTGGATCCCGGATATATACACCGTATCCATCCTAGGGGATGTCTCTCTGCAAATACTGTCTTATAGCAGTGCGGACCGTTGACCAAGATAGATAGATAATAGGGATGGGAGACTCTCTGAAACAAGACACCGTCATGTGCTTGTCCAAGTCTCTAATCAAGGAAAATTAACTGGTGTAGAGACTGAGACCTGTGGGAAGCGGAAATACGACGAACTTTCGCTATCGAAACATGAAAAAAGAAAAACATTGACTCGCAAGGACCGTAAGACCGGTAATTCGTAGCAATCCACACACGTGCAAGTAAGTCAGTCAGTCAGTAATGGAGGTACGTACCTAAAGTACCTGACTTACCTACCCTTTTAGCCCACCGGAGCTGAACAACAAACAAGAAATTTCCCTATCTCGGTCTTTAAATTTTTTTATTTTCTTTTCAGAATCGGAGTGTCGCCGAAAGGTTCAAACTTGTCGTTATTTCTTCAAAATGAAAAAGCAAAATTCATTTGATGACCCGAACTAATTGTGGTCGGCGATGCAAAAAAAGAAAGAAAAGAAAAAGAGAAAGAGAAAAAGAGAGTTATCAAACTGGACGAACGGGGAATTGAACCCCGGACCCCTCCCAATCACATACGGGTATCCGAAGAAGATATCCGAAAGATGCGAAGGGAGTATCATACCCCTAGACCATTCGCCCGCTCCACTTGTCTGGCTCCAATGGTTACAGCACACTATCGAATACCGGAGTATTGAGAGCCGCGGAAATTTCCGCACGGAATGGAGTCCCCTTCGATATTGCAATTAACATTTTAACAACACGACGTGGGGATACTGGATGTTTATCTGCTTCAATTAATGATTGGGCATGCGATAGGTAGTTTCCCCGGATAACTAAAGAAAGATAGATAGAAAGAACGATAAATTTACCTGTTCCTCCGTACATAGTCGTGACTGCCATTCAGATGGCCACCCCCCAACCCCCCCCCCCCGGCGGGCGGACTTGCCTGTTTACGCCCTCTACTTACGAAAGAGGCAGGTACTTACCTACTTGGTACGGAATACTAGTACTTGCGGAATAACTTCGTAAGCCCTGCTCATCCCAAGTTTCTTTCAATTTAGGTATCGCCTTTTGGGACTGACTGGATTGTTCACGCTCGCCTCATTCCCAAAAAAAAAAAAAGATAAAAATTAATAAATAATAATAATAATATATATTTTTTCTACATCTTCAATGCACCGACGTCCATCTTTTCAGAGCATTGTGTACCTTGGTCGATTGGAGGAGCCGTTTGTAATTACCAGGTATCACAAGTAAGATTCGCGGCGCTGCGGGAGGAAAGGGATTCCCGCAAACCCGCCTCAGGATTTGGAGAGGTTGTACGTACGTATCAGGCCGGTCTTAGCAGCTCTTGCGATCTCTGCGGTCCCCGCCCATGCTCGCCGAAGATGTCCCGTGGCAACTGCGCTACCACCAGCCCGACATTGCCACGAGTTTCATCGTCCGCCGCAAGTCGTATCTCGCCGTCTCGGCTCCGCTGATCGTCCTGTTGTACCTCCTGGTCGGCCTCGTTCCCGAGAAGCACAATGTACTCTGGGGCTTCGCCTATGTGCGCGATAGTTACGACTGGTCCAAACAGGAGCTTTTCTACCCGGTATCCAATTACACGCCTTTGCCCACGGGTCAGCCTCGATTGCTACCGCCGGTCCAATTTGATTTCAAGGAAGACAAGAGCCCCGAGGGCGTCGCGCGGGAGGCGGTACTGGCATCGAGGCGCAACGAGGTGAAAAATGCCTTCTTGAAGAGTTGGAACAGCTATAAAAAGGTCGGGTTTGGATATGACGAGGTTATGCCCGTGTCGGGTGTCGGGCACAACGAACCAGGTTTTGGCGGGTGGGGAGCTACGCTCGTCGATGCCCTGTCGACGTTATGGATAATGGATCTCCGGGACGACTTCCACGAGGCTGCGGCCACTGCCGTTACTATAGACTACTCGAAGACGAAGGACACGTCCTGCAACTATTTCGAAATCACCATACGACATCTCGGTGGCTTGCTTGGTGCTTACGACCTCAGCAGGGAGACCGCGTTGCTGGAAAAGGCCGTCGAGCTTGGCGACATGCTCTACATGGCGTACGACACCCCGAATCGGATGCCGGGTGCCTGGTTGGATTTCAAGGATGCAAAGAGGGGCAACCAGAAGGCCGGGAACCACGATCCCTCGGCCTCGGTAGCCTCTTCGTCCCTAGAGTTCACCCGCTTGTCACAGCTGACCGGTAACGATAAGTACTATGACGCGATCGATCGGGTCGCACGGGTTTTGGACCAATGGCAAAATAAGACGAAACTTCCGGGAATGTGGCCAACCCATCTCGACTTGCGAAACGAGGAACTGGACGAAGATAGCAGCTTCACCGTCGGCGCGCTCGCTGATAGTCTGTACGAGTATCTGCCCAAAACGTTTGTTATGCTCGGCGGCCTCGAACCAGTCTATGAGAAAATGTACCGGAGCGCGATGGACACAATCATTAAGCACATCTTGTTTCGGCCTAAGCTACCCGACCAAGCGGATATTCTGTTCGCCGGCAATAGCGACGTCTCGGATCTGGGCCCAAGACTTATTGCTGAGGGTCAGCATCTCTCATGCTTCGTAGGTGGCATGTTTGGACTCGGTGGACGGATATTTCAGATCCCGGAGCACGTTGCGATTGGCGAAAGGATCACGAAGGGTTGCGTATGGGCATATGATGCAATGCCCGCCGGTATCATGCCCGAAGTCTTCAACCTGATCGATTGCCAGAGTCTGGAGCCGTGCGAGTGGAACCAGGACGAATGGGAGATCGAGGGCGACACGAGTCTGAAGCCGGGCTTCGTAGATGCGAAGGACCCCCGTTATCTCCTCAGGCCCGAGGCTATCGAGAGTGTCTTTCTCATGTACCGTATCACCGGTAATGCCGAGTATCAGGAAATGGCCTGGAGGATGTTCCAGGCTATTCGCAAGGCGACCGAGACGGACCTTGCCTTTTCGTCGATTGATTCTGTCAGGGTGACCGAGACGGTGAAATCGGATTCAATGCAGGTCAGTTTCCTTCCCCCCTCCCTCCCTCCCTTTCTTTCACATCGTATATGCTCATTCGAAGACCAACTCACTCACTCACTCACCCACTCACCCACTCACTCACGCCATTTTGCAGAGCTTCTGGTTAGCCGAGACCCTGCGATATTTCTACCTAACATTCTCGTCACCGGATCTGGTCAACCTGAACGAATTCGTTCTTAACACCGAAGCCCATCCCCTTCGGCGTCCACATCCTCCCGCACATTAAGATCCATCATAAGCGAACACGGCGGATTTGTTGATAGAGAGAGAGAGCCTAAGCGCCTACGGCTGTACATTGCAGAGCAGAACTTACCTTAATGAATAACGATGCGGTAGATTTGCGACGGGCGAACACGTGTCCCGTACGTAATTAATTACTCTTTTCATTCTGGCGTAATTGGACACGTTGTTACGTCCTTGGTGTTGCAGATGGAGATGGAGATGGAGATGGAGATAGGTAGATAGATAATGCTCACGTTTATTGCGCTGCGCTTGCCCGCGCTGCTTCTATAGAAACCTAATACCTGCGGAACAGATGAGATTAACTTGCCTGAAGCTGTCTGTGAGTGTGTACACTACTCGGTTATGGGTAATAGTGCAAAACCCATTCGCGTACCTGCGCATTCCATCGTCCTCGTTGCGGGGGTTGCGCGTATTGTGTGGTGTACGGCCATCTCATCTCATGTCATCTCATCTCATCTCATATAAATGTCATGTCATTCCATTCCATTGCATCTCATCTCATCTCATCTCCATCTCATCTCTCATCTTATTTCAATACGCGGCTAACAGCCACGTTGGTGCAGTGCAGTGCGGTGCGGAGCGATGCACTACCTACCAACCTACCTACCAAGGTACCGAGTGTCACGAGACCGACCGACCGACCTAACAGAGAAGAAGAAAACTAGTAGGTACGTACGTGTTGGTCGGAATCGCGGGGTCGTTGCACATCTTCATTTCTCCCCGCTGTCATATTGGTGGTGTATTAGGTAGTCCTGGTTCATTGACCCTACCGGGTACTAGTGCTAACTTGTGTCGCGCCGTATTGACGTCGGGCTGCCGATCGGCATTTTGGACTCGGAATTCGGATCTGGTGTTGGGTCTGGGTCTGGGTCTTGGTCTTGGTCTTTTTTTTTTTTTTCTTTTGGTCTGGGGATTGGGGATTGGGGGTGTTATTTTGTTGTTGTTAGGTGTTGTTGTGGATGTGTTTTGGGATATGTGATGGAGTTGGGGGTCGGGGGGTTGTGGTGCTTGAGATTTGGTGATCGTCTGATTGTTTGGTGTCATGGAAGGATTGACTTGTGCGGCGTGTTGGTGGCGAACAGACAGACAATTGAGAGTGGGGAATTGATTATGTACTTGGATACCTACTTGTTTCTCGTTGTAGGTAAATAAATGTCTGATTTCTTTCCCTGTGTGGTCAAGTACGTATACCTAAGTTGATCTTGTGAAATGTTGCTGCTGGCCTGTCACTGGTGAGTGAGGTGATACTTACGTTGAGGTGGATTATCCACCAGTCAGTCCGGCCTTTGCGCCCCTTGGTTCGAAAGGTTGTTTCTTCTCTGTCCATGATAGACAGTTTAGGTGTTACTACTAGGATTACAAGGTACTTCGTAGTGTTTCTGTAAAAGTGATCTGGAAGGATGCGGTACCTATTGGACCCCCATGATCCATCTCTGTGTGATCCGAGACGTAGGTATACGTAGATACGACGTTGACAAGGGGAATGGTGGTGACTCAGCAGGGCTTTTCTCACACCCAACATGTCTCTCTCCCCCGCAACATGAAAATGCTGTATACGTACATTGTGGTGCAGATGCAGGAGGAGTTATGTATATCTCATAAGTGAATGAAGCGGTACGCTCAAAGTGATGTAGGTAAACACCTTGTACAATCATGCGTGGATCTACCTACCTACCTAGACATGCGATCGAATGAGAGAAGCCGCCGTGACTACAGGGCGAGGGTGAGCCCTGTTTCAACGGCGGAAATCCTAGATCCTCGATCTCTTGTTTGTCACTCGTGGCAACGTCTGCATAAGATGTTTATCAGCCCCCGTATGCCGGATGCAGTCGGGGGGTTTTCGGCAAATCATCTTCGTAGGCACAGCTACCTAGTACCCAGGTATAATCATGATCATCACTGCGGTGTGTCTTGCCTCCCTCGTCTACCTACCTACCTACCTAGGTAGACCAGCCGTAGCCAAGGGGATAGTGCTACTAGGTACCTAGGTAGGTAGAACGGTTCTTATAAAGGTTAAAAGAGCATTACTACTCTCTTATCTAGTGGCATGAGGGAAAAAAACATAGTCGGGTTTGCTGGATTTGATGAGTGTACAAGCGTGGCCGGGGCTCACCCGTGACTGTATCAACTCTCGATTTAAGTATAAGAAAGGCCTTCGGACTTCTCGATGCGGGTTGCGCTCTCGGCTTTTGTGTGTATACCTACACTACGAATACCTATACACAAGGTATATATATACGAACGTATATAATAGGTACTATCACTGAAGTCTTTACTCCCTGGCTTGAGGATACCGCCACGGCGCTAAGTGTAGCGAACGGGGAAAAGAAGGAACCCACAACGCGTTGAGCAGTCA